TACATTGTATATTTTATATCTATTTCATAACACTATAGATAAACTCATCTTTCTACATAATGGAACCCAGAAATGTACAAATATGACGCCTAAGCTGTAGGAAGGATATTCTTTTCTCTCCTCTGTCTGGTTGTATAGAGAGTGTCAAGATAAGAGACTTAATTTAGCTCATTTGTGAACAGAAACAAAATCAGCCTGTCAAGAGTGTGAGTGCTCTAAAAGGCAAGAAGAAGCAACAAAAAAGTCACAGCTAACTCCCACCTTTCATCACGCTCCTACACTTTTTTTTTTTTTTTAAATTTCTCTTACTTCAATATTCTGTCATCCTCAGCTTATTCTGTGAAGAAGAGACACACACACACACACTTCCTATTCCTCTAATAAGGCAGATGACAGGTGAAGACAGCCTGATGTGTCAGACTCGACATAAAGGTAATTACCGACTGCTGCAGCTCCAGTCAGTGTCATCATTTGACCTAAAACAGTACGGGTGGAAGAACTGGGAGTGTTGCTGTTGAATGTCATCCTAATAGATTACAGTAAGAGAAGTGTGCGTGCGTGTGTGTGTGTCTGTGTGTGTGTGTGTGTTGTGTGTGTGTGGAAAAGCATTCATGGAAGTAGCATGACATTGAAATCGTTTGCAGCTCTATTACTCTACAACCACCTGAGAGAGCAGGTTCTCCCAGGCGTGATTAGTTGAAGGCTATTTTTACATGCAGCCTCCCCCTTTCAATGCCGGTCTGTCTTTGAAACGGGGACAGGGAAGCGCTCCCGTGGGGGCAGCTTCTAGCATATTCTGGGTTAACTTAGCACCATATAGAAAAACCTCCACGCAGGAGGGCTACCACAGAGTTGAAAAGTTGCACCTAGAAGCAGGTAGGCTTTTAAAAAATCGCTCATGCACAGAGGTGGAATGTACGCATGTTGACTATGTTCACTTTTACAGTTGTTAGTAAGTTAAAATACATTGCTGTTACTCTTTCAGTACTATCACTTTAAGGACTGTTTGTACATTGCAACTGAACAGAAAACGGGAGAAATGAATACTGTAACATTATTAACTTCATTTTGGTTGCAGAGCAACTTTCTTTCTGTTCATAATGTTGATATTGAGGCATTTAATTGAAACCAGAGCCTTCCATGGATTTGTGAATGACAAGAGGAGAAGCATGTGAAACACAGCTGATACACTCTCTTCATCGTGTTGAATATTAACTCACTGGAGACAGGAGGATTTAATAATCTATTCATGTAAATAGATTTGGTTTTGTTTTGTTGATATTTAAATGTTAAGAAAAAAAGAACAGAGTTAACCTGGGCAGGAAATGTCTTTTAATGCACTGGTGAGGAGCAGTTACAGATTACGACCTCAGCTGGACGTGTGTGTGTGTGTGTGTGTGTGTGTGTGTGTGTAAAAAACACAAATACACTCACACACTACTGGGAAAATAAATAAACATTAACTGTCACTGCATCGACTCTTAACTCTATTGTGCAAGAAAATGGGAAAATGAAACTGGAATAATAAAATATTAAATAATTCAAGGCTCGGTCTGTTTCTTAAGGCTATGAAGTATTGCTGGCAGCAAATCGTGTTTTTTGTGGGTGGGGGTGGGATGTCAGTCTTTTGTCTATGCACAAAACTACTGTTTAAGGCTAATGACCTGCATTTAAAAAATATAACTCCATTTCACTGGTGTGATTATTTTATAAATAAAAGTCAAATGATGTAGCCAGAGCTCCCTCTGATGGGCAGTATTTCAAAATGTCTGCATCCACGTTTCTGAATGCACTGAAGTGAGAAAACTTGCAGACAAAAAAAAATGCATTCAAAAGTAAGGACGACACTAACATAGAAAGGAGAAATTACACTTTAATCAGTAAAATACTTATCAAAACAAAACTCTTCCCCTCTTTACTGGATCAGATCAAATTCTTGCATTACCTTAATGTCACCTTTTCAACTGAATCTTAACTGGACCAAGGTGAAAGAGGACAAGGAGACACTGGGTTACTATTATGTACAAGGTGAAGCCAAGTTAGTACCACAAATGTAAACATGTTTTTTTTCCTCGGAAATCTTTCTAATATTACTTATTATTGTATTGTATTAATATTCCTCTGGTGTCAGCAAATCTAATGAACTGAATGCATATTTAATCACTACACAAAAACTAGGAGTAAACAAATCAGAAAATAAATCAAGTTTTTGGTACCAAGAAATTTGCGATGTAAAGAAATTTGAAACAAGAGAATGTAAAAGTCAAAACAGTCATTAAAAATGGGTAAATCCCACATTAAGAAAAAGCTAAGACTCATCTCATTCAAGTGACAAAGTTAAAGCCTCTTTATACCGTACCTTCCAGTCAGTCACTGCTATTGTACCAATACTGTTTTTCGAAAAAAAAAAACACACAAAAACATTTCTAAACCTCAACAGAGATCCAGGTGATTTCCCTGTGAAGAGAACCAGACTGTGTTGTATACGTCTTCAAATGTTTGTACCGTGTTGTTTCTCCTCTGATTAATGTCTTCCATGAATCACCATATGCTGACACAGCTGGGTGGAGATGGGTTGGAAAATCATGATTTTGTACCATAATTTATATTAAATAGGAGTCATTTACATCACACTGCTCAAAGCTGTGCACTGTGTTCCAAAGGTTGTTTTTGTTTTTCATGCGACGGTTTCCCTCCTTTCTAAACTTTACTCTTTGCTCATCACTTTATTTTAAAAAGTTGAAGAAACAAGTGGGGTAAAGGAAACTAATTCCAGAGGAAATGATTCAGACAAATTCACAGTAGTTCTGTCTCAAATGGAGAATGGTGGGAAGGTGACCGTACCGAACACGACACTTTGCCATAATTACAAAAGCTTGAATCATGTTTTCCTGCAAACTAACAGAGAATCAGGGCGGATTTGCCCTGCAATTAACTTCTGTGAAAGATCGCAAAGAACGGTTGGAAAAAGAAGGGAAATTGTCACAATTTTTTGGCAGCTATGGTGGTTTTCTTAGTAACTGTTGTTGCATTCGCAGTTGTTTCACTTCTCCTCTAGACAGATCTCAGCTGCCGTCCATCTCGCTGGCCTCAGGACTTGTCTGATGTCAATGCGCAGTCAAAAGAAGCCGACAGCACTTTGCAGATGGACTGAGCCTGCTCCTGTTCAGACAGATTACACAGAAGGAAAGGAAAATATAGATATGTAGATTTTTTTTAAAAATACCCCAAATCTTTATTTTCGATACCCCCAATTATTTTAAACTTCGTTGCACTCACCGAGCTGCTGCACTGGTACACCCAAATGCTGCACTCTTCTTGCTTTGGATCAGTGGTTTTGAGAGCAAGGAGGTTCTTCCCTGCACCGAGGCCATCGTCGTAACACAGCATACGCACTATCAGGTACAGAGGGTGGCGATGCAGCACATCCTGTGGGGGGGGGGGGCATGTTGTTGTTACTGACTCTTCAGATCGAGCATACATTTCTTCTTCTTCTTTCTGGAATTGCTGAAATATCTGAGTCAGCAGCTTTACGCACAACCTTGTCAAACATATTAACTGATGCTGAATTTCATAAGCCATGCTGTTTGGCTATATTGATGACTCAGCAATACGGCAGAGTCTAATCAATGAGCATTCAATCTCATGTACAGTATATCACTGTTCTGTTGCTCTGCTACTCACACACTGGTCCAACGAGGCCACTTTGACGCCGTACTGGGACACTCCCAGAATCATGTCCTCGTCTCCAGGCACGAAGGGCAGCTTTCCATCTTGCTGTTAAAAGGAGCAGGATATTTATAGTGTCTTCTCTGTCTCTGAGAGCAGCCATTGCTACTTGAAGTGTGTCCCTGTCTTTTTCCAGCTTCTTACCTGAGCAGAATCAATATAGTTGATGAGGTCCAAAGGCTCCTGGAGGGTCTTGCTCATGTTAAACTGTAACTTCTCAATGGCTCCCACATACTTCACCCGGAACTCGGCACAAGTGTCAGATGTACTGTTACCTGAGGGAGCCATATGTCAAACAATCAGTTGGTTAAAGGGGATAATATAAGAAGGGAGGATGCGGGTTAAATTTGTTGACTTTCATGAGTTTGCTGACTGACCTGAGCTCTTGGTGGAGTCTGTATCAAGGCTGGCGACGGTGCTCGATCTGGAGAGGCCTCCCAAACTGGAGTCCACAGACTGTAGTGAGACCAAAACATGACATGGTGTTAGCTGCGTTCAATAAGACAGTAGCGATTCCCTGTAGATGTGTGTGTGTTACTGTACCTTGCTTTTGGTGCTGATCTCACTGCTCTGCGAGCTACTGCTGCTGTGGCGCTTTTTGACTTTCCGGAACATCCTTCACCATGACGACAGCATCCAGCCCTCCAGCCCCGCCGAATCTGGATCATCACAGACCACAGTGTTAAACACAAGACAGGATTGCCTTCTCAAGTCTCAACAGGGATGATGAATTATTGAAGTCAGTGTTGTTTAAATTTTTAATCATGGCTGAATGAGAGTGTAGACCTTTAGCTACATAATATGTTTTGGCAATCCACACAGATATCCTAATTAAAGTCACCACAAATATGCTTAAAAATATCA